TTTTCCAACAGGAAGCTTTTTTCCCTAAGGAAAAAATGCAATTATGTTTAAAAACAATGTTTCATGGAAGTTTTTTTGCCACAATTTATTGATAGAAAAAGGTACTTTAGGGAAGGCCACCTTCCCCTCAGACAACCCAATCCTCTGTGGAAATTGTCCTGTGTGTGTGAATGTCTGATATAATGCTTCCCTGCAGACTCCTTGGTCATAGGCCTGGCTGTCCAAAAGGTGTGTTGAAATGGTGGCTGGCTATACAAACATATACATTGAAGTTGAAGAATAGAAGGAAGGTCTAACTTTGCCTTTTCGGGCGTTCCTCTCTCTTTCTTACCTTACAACTCTTCCCATATGCACAATAACAAGAGCTTGGATGTCATCATGCAAAGAGCCAAAGTGCCTCTCCTTCCTGGAGTTTTACCTTGGCTGCCTTTTGAGGCAGCTTCTCAGCCACTTGAAGCCATGCAAACTGCACAGTGGGATGACACCAGGAACCCTGATGAAGATCCAAGAGCAAGAAAGTGCTGAAAATGTGGGAAACACTGCAGACATCTCTTTTGAAAGGTCAGTGCTCTCTGTGCAAGGAACAAGCCTCCCTGCTTCATTATGGGCCCCAGTGCAAGAGGCAAGAGAAGAAGAAAATGCATTTTATTAAGGAAAAGTGCTGGACAAGTCAATATGATCAGAAGTATTAATGCATGGGTGTTTTCTTTCTCTAGGGCTGACCAGCTGTAGAAGTTTGCCTTCACAAGGTTCTGTAGAGGCTCTATTGATTAACTTGCTAAAAATGCAGGTTTAGCAATATTATAATGACAGAACACTGTTGTTTACTTATGGAAAAAAAATTAACTCCTGTCACTCATGAACAGACACAACCAGACAGGGGCAAAGGAAGGGTGGAAGCAGCTGCTTAGCTCAATGGGAAGCAAAGGGGAGGAAGGAGAAGACCTGGAGCAGGAGAAGGATTTTTGAAGCAGCCATCACAAAGGAAATTATGCTCTTTTGACTCATTAATTCCATGAATGATATTACTTTTTCTCTGGCTGACTTCCTGATCAGATCAGCCTAGTGGCGTTTAGCCTCAGGCTTGAAATTAAGTGCAGTTGCTTAAGTGCTTTTTTGAATTGCATCAGTAGGAGGGCTGATCCCAGGTCCATTGAAGTCCACAGAAAGGTCTCAGTTTAGCCCTGATGAAGCCGAAGCAGAGATGATTAGTAGCCTTAATGGATGCTGCTACCCAAACACACAATGTTTTGGCTTGTGTCCTCAATCATAATGCTGAAACTGTTATTCACTGTGGGGGAAAAGGTAAACCCAAGACTTCATCCTGTATTTTAGGCATTCAACTTGTATTAGTTACTGATAAAGATCATGCATTCTGATAGAAATTCTTCAGAATGGTTTTTTAAAGATTTTTTTTCCTAAGGAACACAGATTACTATGTGCTTATCTCTCAGCATAGCTTGTGAGTAGAAGCCAAAAATAATTTTATTGACTTCTGCTGGCTCCCCTTTAGAAACAAAAAGCAGCAGCCCATTGTCTGCTCTTTCTCAGAAAGTCAGAGAGAAAAGATGAGGAATGTGGTACGCACCAGCACACTTCTGCTCACAGCTAACAAATACAGGATTCCTGCTTTTCAGTTTTGGTTCCAGGAGCAACTGCTTTTAGAACTGCCTTATTTAAATGGGCTCATCATGGTGAATAGATTGCAAGATCTCATAATATTTTAATTTGTCCAACCCTGCAACAGGCAGTGTAGATAACAGTCTAGGATTATATGTGAAGCAAGTGTATCTCAGAGTAACTTTATTGTGCCACAGTTTCAATTATTTTTAGAGCTAACAGTTTTCTTAATTTCTGCTTCCTAGCTGGTACATTTATGCTAAGTACTCTGAGAAAACAGAAGACTCTGTGAGAGCTTTTCTAAGATACCAAATATTTGTAGTGTTTGTAAATATACTTACCGTGTAAGTATATATATATCTATTGAAGATTTGTGCATGGGAATGGAGATGGCTCTTAAATGGTTATCCAGGGCACTGAGGTATGTCAGCAAGAAAGCCTATTCATGATTTCCTCACTGCCAAAGGAGGTCTGTCAATTAGCCAGTGCAATGGAGCTGTGCAAAAATACCCTTGTCAACGTAAGCTACTGCTAATTACTAAACTGCTTTCAGAGGCAGGTTTTTAAACACTCAGAATCCATAGCAAATATGGTGTTCCTGCTCCTAGCCCTCTCCTTATCCTTCTCCTCTGCTCTCCTTGTAAAGAGAACTACTTTCATGTTTTATTTATTTGTCAAAGAGCTTTGCAGTAATGGGTTCTTTAAGTCCCCTCGGTGTTGACATCTTTGCATCACTTCAAAATAGCACAGAAAAATGATAGTGTCCTCTTGGTGCTGGGGCTCAGCATGAAGTTCCTGTCACAGTGTTTGTTGTTGCAGCATTTCTCTGAGCTTAGGGATATTAGCTAGCAGGAGATTTCCTCTCTTAACAGAATTTTTAATTTTGTTTGGTTCAGAGGTATGCAGACAAGGAGCCCCACTGGAGTCTGCATGGGGAGGAGGGCCTAGCTCAAATTAGTCTGCCTCAGATGCTGCCACTACAAACTTCTCAAGAACCATTCCCTTGTTGGGAGAAAGGGGAATGGGAAGGAGGAAGAAAGCACGCTGGCTTTCTAAAAAAATTACTTCTCCTTCAACCAAAGCTTCTCTTCTGGATGTCAGATGGTTTGTAGGAATGGATGTGTCTCTGTTTTCTGTCTTCTCTCATTCCCATCAGTATTAGCTTCCCATTGTTATGCTTATTTGCCTTGGTGTGGGATTAGCACAGGCAGTGCCAGGTAACAAGGAATTCCCTACACCTGCTTTCCAGTTGTGACATATTGGCATTCTATGGTAGGCAGCAGCTCATTTACTTTTTTTTACATGGAAGCTTTACTCCATCACATCAGGCTGCCCTTCAGGGATAATTAAGGAAAAGTATTTCTTATTCTTTTTCCATTGAAGGAATAGCTTTGATTTTGCAGCCAGGCCTTCAGGGTAGGTTTCTTGTATGGAGTCTATATATTTTCAGTCATCCTCATAGACCTCCCTCAGTTACAATGGTGTAAGACCTCTGATGCAGTTCCTAGTGATTTACCTACCATGAGAGAGGTTTGTATCCTGGGTTCTCCCTTCTCTCTGCTGCTTTCCAAACAATGAGGCAAACAAATGTTTCGAAGCAGAAGCAGTAGCCATTTGTTCATCAAGACTGCCTATTGGTTTCTTGCAACAATGCCCATGGGTGTTGTTATTTTTTTCTTTCTTTTTTTTTTTTTTTTTCTTCCCTTCTCTGAACAGCCCCAGATCTTCCCATACCAATAAATTTGAGTTATACATCCATCTAGGACTGGGAGAATATCAAAAGTGCCTGGCTCCTTATTTGTTGTATCTGGCTTTGTTCCAGGCAGCTGATTAATTCTGATGATTCAGAATCTTTGGCAATAGAGCACTGAAAATATGAAAAAATATACAATAAAATATATTGAAAGCAACTTGAAATGTCAGGTAGAATACAGTGCAAATAATGTACCCATCAAAGGAGATTAATGGCATTTTTATGCAACACTTCACTTCTTCTGCATTCTAGATGGGCAAATAACCTGTTATTCTCACAATTAATCATGGCTATAGATGTGGGTATCCCTTGTATCTGACAACCTCTGCTCTCATATGTTTTCCATCACGTGTGCCTCTCTTCCCTTTTAATTATTTCTTCGTATCATTCAAACTGTCCTTTGGCTTCTCCTGCTTGCTAGCACCTCCCATTTGCAGGTGGCCCTTCCCTTCCTTCAATCCTTTATTCTGTGGTCTGGAATATGTTTATTTCTGAAAGGATTTATTTTTTTAAAAAGGATTATTTGCTTTGACTACTTTGGGAAAGAAACTGTGCTTTTCCCTTAGAGCTGAGGTTTTTCAACTCACCTTTATGTGAGGGTCATCTTTGCTGAAAGAAGAGGAACCAAAATTATTCCTCCCTGGTATGGTGAGAATGTCAGGCATGGGTGATGGGACATGAATCTTTACTTGCTCTATAAGACTATCTAAACCAGATGAAAAGCAGGAGATTATCTCCTCCCCAGCTCATGGGTATTGATAAAGAAACTTCTCACACCATTTTTGGATTCTGTTTGCACCTGGTGAAAGTGGCCAAGCAGAGCTAAGGACTAACAGACCAGTGTTGCTATAATAGGTGAGTTTCACAATGGAGATCCTTTAAAAACCATAGCATCGTTGACAACAAGTGATTTTGTCAGAAAATGTTTGAATAATGTTCTGTTCTTTTCCCTTGGAGATGTAGGAAAAGGACTATGGAAGTGTTTCAGGCTTGCCATAATGCAAATATAATGACCCTCAAAATAAGGTAAGATTATGTCTGAAACAGCTGTCACATATGTACTGGTATTCATCTGGTTTTATTGGTGAAATGTAAGTCATCAGTGAGAACTGAGCTCAAAACTGGAAAGTAGAACTTTCAGGTCAGGGACAAAATGATTTTGCCCTTTGTTTTACTGGCTGCTAGTTCAGCAACACTGTCAGGCTCCTATGTGGCTGGGGCAAGAACAGAGAGCATGAGGCACCCTGCAGTGTCACCTGGTATCACACCTGCCACCCACGACATCCTGCTCTTTGCCCATTGGGAGAGTACCTGGACTCACCTGTCTCACCAGCACTCTTGGGGGAAACAGCAAGTCCCAAAGGAGAGCTCTTCATTGCTTCTACACCACTTTGCAGTGAAATAGGTTCCTCCCTTTCAGTTAAGGTCCTGCTTTTATCTTTAGCAGAAACCTGGCCTCCTTTTCCATTATGTTTCCTTACTGCCTGTTGCCTCATGGATTTTCACTCACATTTGCCTCCCTTCCCTTTCCCCTATTTTCCCTTCCCTCACCTTAAAACTGTACTACTTGCTAATTTCCTCATGCTTTTCCTTTGCTACGATGTAAAAATATGTATTTGTTGGTCAGCGCCCTGTTCTTTTACATTTTACTTTGACATGCCTTGGGGTTTTCCTTGGCTTAGCAATTCTGTGTTCCTTTTCCTTATCCCTACTTTTAATTGCTCCTTCCGTTCTCAGCAACAGTCACACTATCCCGTTGACATTCTTTTCATTTATTTGCTCCTTTTAGTCTCCCCAGGTCCCTTCATTCTCTCACCTACAACACTTCTAGTTTCCTTTACTGGAAACTTCACTTGAATATTCCAGAGCTTCCTTTAAATATTTCATTTCCAAGAGAATTTGAGGATGCTGTCATGTCCTATGATTTACTGCAGGTCTCATTTTCAAAGAGCAATATTTCTGTATTGCAGCCAAACAAGCAAACCCTTCATTGCATTATGCAGTCTGGTTAGATGAGGAGATGAGTGTGAGAACCAACTCCATGTCTCAGGCATCAAGCTTGAGCCTGGATCTTCAGAAACCCCTGGACAGGGTTTTTAGCTCAAACCCAGCCAGTGATACACCAAAAGCTGGTAGAGCTGGTAGTTACCAGCAGCTGGTTTCTCGCTTGTCTCTGCACGTTGTGTCAGGGGCCAGCTCTGCTGTGCTGCCTCTGCCAGGGGCCGCCTGCGGGGCAGGCACATCCAAGTGATGGAGCACCCCTGCCACACCTGCTCTGCGGAGGGGGCTCGAATCAGGGCTGTCCTGATCTCTGGGCAGCCGCTGTTCCCAGGCGGATGCGGCTTTCTCCTCCTGTCATAGCTGCTCTCAGGCGGGGGTCTCGCTTGGAGGGTCAGGAGGAGCTTGTGCCGGCGCCAGCGCCTTGGCGACAGATTTTGCAAGAGCAGAGCTGTGCCTGCGGGGAGCCCGAGGGATGAAGCCGGGCGCTGCCATCCGCTGTGGCGTTCCATGAAATACCTGCTTTCATGGTGAGGGGAGGCGGGGGAACCCCTCCCTGCTCCCTCCGGGCTGCTGGGGAAGCAAGGGCGGGCAGGCAGGACGGCCTCCCGCTGCTGGGAAATGCTGCTGGGCGACAGGAGGTGGCACTGGGTGGGAAAGGTGGAATAGCACGGGCAGGAGGAGAGGGTTGCGGTGCTGAGGGGCCTGAAGGCAGGGCTGGGTGGCCGCTGGAAGGTTTGAGCCGGGGTGTGCTGGGCCTGGGGCGAGGCCCATCTCCCTGGGCACTGCGCAGCTCCTCTCCTGGGCCACAGCAGCCGCTTCTTTTGTCTCTGCTGAAGTTCTGCCAAGCAGTGCGGTTTTAATAGTGAGGGCTGGGGACCGCGAGTAGAAGCTTGGTGAGCACAGAAGCACTTCCCCAGCGTGGATTTTTACTCCTTTTTGACTGCCTTCCCACCTCCTTCTACCACCAAGGCTGCCCCCACCCTGAGGGAGTCTGCGTTCCCTCCCGGTGCTGCCCCTCTCATTTCCTTCCCCTCCTGCCCACACACCGATGGAAGGTCTCTAGGAGCGTCCAGAGCCACGGTATGTGGTGCCTGACCCAGGGGACAGGTCTCCTCGGACTCTATTCATACGAAATAAGTGAGAAAATTCTTCTTTGGATGCTTCCCACCCCCCTGCCCTCAGCAGGCCTGTCGGTGGTCTCCCTCCCTGCCTCTGAAGCCCTCTGAGCACCATCTCCTGCACTGCCTCAGTCTCCAATTTTCTTGCTTTCAGGCCCACTAGCTATGTTTCTTTCCTTCAAGTATGCTTCTTTCAGAAATCCTTCTGATAGCTTGTTCTCATTATCTTAATGAACAATTAGAGAGTGAATCCGTCAATGTAATTTCTATGTTCTTTCTCCTTGTCTTTGAGCAGCATGAGTTATACCCCTGCTCTGTGACTGCAGCATGCCCCAGCTTTTCAAAAGATGGGGAGATATTCAAAGGTGCCTAAAAACTTCCATCCTTCTGGCTTTGAGACTATTTAGTTTTTTAGAGGAGATTATTAAGGCTGGCTGCAAAAGAAGGTAAAGTAAGCAATTAAAAAAAAAAAAGAAAAGATAACTGAGGGCTATTATTTCCTCTTCTAGGAGGAAAGCAAACAGGACCACTGAAACCAGAAACATTGGAATTTTGGTAGTAGAACATTGGAAGTTGGTATGTAGAGCTTGCTGGATGCCTCCATCCACCCCTGGTGAGGGAAGGATTGTCTGCCTGAAAGCTTCATCTGCAGCAGAGCTCTGCTTAACTGAGGCACCAACACTACCTGTGATGCTAGTGTGCATTGAACAAATGTTTAAAATAGGGTAATGCTGGCTTTGCTGATACTGACTGCAGTTCTGGCTAGGCTTCTTTTCAGTGAGGCTGAAAAGGATGCCACCTTGCACAAGAGGCATAAACATATATTTGTATGCAGACTCTTGGATAGTTCTGAGATGATGTTTGAATTTAAACATTCATTAAAACTGAAATAGTTTCAAGTCAGTGGGTGAGCTGAGAGAAACAGACAGATAATGCTACTGTCAATGGGGCCATATAGTGATGCTTTGCTCCCAGCAGATTGTGCAGATTCCAGTAATGTTTTGTCTTTATGTGTTTCTCACCTTCTGTCTTACCTCTTTAACTTCCTGAAGTAACAGGGAAATAATTGAAGTCTGTGCTGGCTTTCTAAGTTGTAAATAGCCAGGAGAGCCACAGTCTCAGGGTAGTAAACTTGATTTCTTGACATTCTTAGAGCTATTGACACAAGCTCTCAGGAGGCTGGTGCATCTGTTTGGAATTTGAAGATTCTAGGGCTTCAGAAGGACTGCTCTTGCCACCCCAAGGCAAGCCATTCAAATCCCACAGCAGCAGAAGCCTGCTCAGCTTTCCAGAAAGATTCACTGTTTCATCATTTGCCATCTTCTTGCAGTTTAATAATAGGCATCTGGTACCTGTCACTATCAGCTCCCAGGTGCTATATTTAGACAGATCAGTATGGTGATCCCGGTGTTCGTGTCAGTGGGCCACACTAGAAATAGCACTGAAATAACACACTAAATAAAGCAGCAGTTACAGGAACAAAAATAGAGAATTTTGTTCTGTTACTTACAATAAAGAAATTAGAAGCTCTTTGCATATCATGTTTTGATACAGAATTAAATTTATTCTATACTACCCTCACTCCATTTTTCAATATCTCTCTATTTTTTTCCCCTACAGATCTTACCCGTGGAAAATGCTGTAGGTAGAATGGTAAGAGAGAAATGCCAATATTTGAAACTGAAGCAATAGATATAATTTTGTATCTGAAAAGACATAAGAGTAGCTTTCTGGAAGAGTGTGGCATCCACAGTGTTCAGATATTCCTATTAAATGATGAAAAGTGGAATAACTTTTAGAAGAAATAAAAACATATTCTTTGTAGATTCTCAAACTTACCAAAGTCTAATTTTCTTTTTTTTTTCCCTAGAAAACAAGTAGAATGCAGTGTTTTAGTTGATATTTCATTTATATTTCTGACATTTTTTTACAGCCAGGAATGGAAAGCAATTAATTAAAAATCATGAGTATCAGGATGACTGGAATCTGTGGCAAACTGCATCCAAAAAAACCTACAAATCACAAAATATGCAGTCCTTACTGAGTTAGGTAGAAAAACCCAAAAGCCTCTGAAAGTTGTTTAAAGTGTCAGTGTTTTGGAAAAAAGTCTGTTTGGAATGACCTCTTAAAAATATTTTCAGCAAATTGGCAATGTGAAAAATGTCTCATCTGTCACATGGGGTTGTAAAAATATCAAAAGATTTCTTTCCAGTGTTCAGTTTTTCTCATTTTTAAAAGGGAAATTGCATTTCAAAGCTAAAAGCTATTCCAGACTCAAGACTGAAATGTTTTATGAAAAATGTCATTGCTTTTAAACATTTTTAATGAAAATTTTGCAAAGTTCATGGCTTCACAGAATGTTTTGCTGTGTTCAGTTCCTCATTTTCTAGTAAGGCAAGTTAATCGTGAAAAGCTTTATGGAGGAAGGTGCAACAGAGCAGCTTCCCACTCAAAATCTTCCATAACCCAAGATGACATTCAGTAGTTTTGTGATAATATTCAACAACAGTTCCTCATATTTCCACACTTAATTAGCTTCTTGCTTAACTTCAGAGGTTTTGTTTCCGCTGTGGATTTGTGGGTAAACTGCAGAATAACCCCAGATACCATTTTTGTGCTTGGATAGGACAGACTTTTGGGTTTCTAGAGTATGCGGTGTTGTTTTTCTCTTTCATTCTCTTGGCAAGGAGAGTTGCTGGAGCAGCCCCCATGTGACCATGCAGCATGTACAGTAAACCACCCTTTTCTCCCTTGGCTCCTCTCCCTTAATAAAGAGGCTCTTTCCTGTTTGTCTGTGTTGGAGTCTCAAGCCAAGCCCCTGCTGGGAGCTTGAGGACAGCATTTCTAGCAACTCTGACCCTGTGCTCCTTCAGGCCACCCCACATCTCCTAATGAAGACCCCCTTTAGTCTCAATCCTGGTACCTCCAGGCCCTGGGAGATGAGGACAGAAGCTTCCAGCTTCTGCCAGAGAGACAAGGTCATGGGTAATGGAGTGTATGTGAGGCTAATGTGACCTCAGAGCACTTTAAAGGGCTGTATTCTTTCCTTCCACGCCAAAGGAAGAGCTATTGCAGGCAATTTGGCAGGAACTAGCCAGCAATTAATTGAGCAACAATTTCAACCATTGCAAAGCCCTATGTGAGGATATTGATGGCAAAGTGACTGATGCCTCCCAGGCTGCAGGTAAATGTGATTCCTGGTGCTGGAGTCTAGCTGACCTAGGGGAGTCAGTAATGACAGACTTCTGCTAAAGAAGCAGGCTTTTGTAAGAATGTAGTAACAGCAATATACTATATTATATGTAATGTTGCATGTATCTGTATGTTTCTTGATTTTTAACATGAAAGAGTATTGTTCAAGCTTAGACAAACAAAAACTAGTTGGCTGTGGATTTTGGCTGCTAATGTTGTGAAGGCAGGCCAGGCTGAAAAAGTTTGATTCTTCCCCCTTTTGGGCCTTGGTTGATGTATCTGGAAGTGGCTGTTCATGTGGATGGTGTGAGAAGCAGTGCTTTTAAAGAGGACCAAGGAGAGGAGAATCCTTTTTCTTGCTATGCTGGGCATCTCTGTGCCTCAGGGCTCCTTTGTAGTCCTGCTTCTCAAGTGGAGCTGGTTCTCCATGTCCAATTTTAGGGATGAAGCCCCTCAAACATGGAAAAGCAGGCTGCAGTTTTTGAGAAGGCTGCCAGGGTACACTGCTGAGCCTGTCTTCTGTGATGGCGTGGGATTTGTTCAGCTGTCAGTGCTTGTGCCTCTCCAGTCATGCTGCAAGCCTGGGCAGGGGAAACAGTTGCACAGAAGCAAATGATGAACATTATTCATTATCCTGATTTTTTTGGGAGGGCTCAGCAGTTCAAGAGCTCTGAGGGAGTAATTGAAGCACTAAAAACAAAGAGCTGACTTGTTACGGTGCTTGAGAGAGGAATGAAAAAATAAATGGGAGAAGGGAGTTCAAATGTGTGGGAGAATGCTGGTGGCTGAAATTTCAGCCTGCTTGAGAAATCGTCTCTCTTCTTGTATTATTGTCTCAGCTAGAGTTTTTTGTGGGGCTGCTGCAGCTAAATTTCAAGCTGGATGAAGTTGACAGAAGCACAAAAGGGAGTGTTGCTTGCTCCTTCTCCAACATTAGAGGGGAGGGAGTGTGGGAGGTGTTGCTCTCTCACAGGACTTGGTTTCCTTCTGCTTCCAGATACATCTTTATTCCTCAGTGGTCCTCTCAGATTGCAAGGGTGAAATCTGTGCTCAGTGTAGCTTCCTAAAATCTGGGGGATTTACCTCAGTTTTCTATTCACCAAATCTAGATACAAAGATTTTAAGCTCAAGTGGTAAAACCCACTTATTCTCCAGACCTTTCTCTGGTGATGGGAGTTCGCAAGGCACTGTCGTGTATGGTGCTTTGCATTTTTGCACTGGTGGAAGACATGAAGTGGTTAGTTATTAATCTTTCAAATGAGATATAAATCCTAAATCTTTGCTAATCCTTATATCCATAGCACAAAACCATACAAATGACAAGATGTGCAGAGCCTCAGTTCATAAGGAAGAGGCAATTACGGAGCCAACTGCAGCATTGAGCAGCAGTAGGGAAAACTCAGATGTTTAATTTGGTGTGGAAAAAGGGAGGATCTCAACTTGTATTGTCTATCTCCCAAATTTATAAGCCTGTCCAATATATCAGGGTACTGATAGAATGAATAACTTCTGGATTTTAGGCAGTATAAATTGTCTCAGTGTAGCTCTCTCATTTCCTTTCCTGGTGGGTTTCAAGTGAGACAAAGGAGAATTTTAAGAGAGACAAAGGAGAATTTTAAGATAAATTGGAAAAATCATATCAGCAAGGTGAGGAAATTGCATGATCACTTCTGGTTTCATCAAATAGCCAGCTCCAGGTGCATCTGGGCTATGGTTATGATCTAATTCCCTTAGCCTTGTTTCCTCACATGTAATTTTTCCATATGTAATTTTTCCATATCACAAAATACTTCTGTAAGGTGAATTGCTGTACTGGAATGGGTGGGGAAAATTAGACAGAGTTGAAAAGTAATGAAAAGCTTGATACTTTCAAACCATCTTTCATGATTTTAGAAGCCTTTCCCTCTCCCTTCCCTTGGTATTACTGATGGATGCAGCCTATCTGGAAAATGGACATGCATACACTGCTATACAGAAGTGCGTTTTGACTGAGTCCTAAAAGATTTTAACTCATCCATCAATTGATTATATTGTCATTGCTACATAAGGCTGTTCAGCATAGAGCATCTATTACTGAGGTTCTGATTGAAACATTGCCCTTGTTGTGCAGAACTGTTTAACTTTGTCTCTTTGAAATGAAATGCGAAATGCTTCTTATCTCGCAAAAAGACAGGTTTATTCTCAGCCTTTTGAAAAACAGGTACGTGAACCTGAAAACATTTCTTTCCGTGGGTACGTGTACAGATGCCAAGTTTTCACCAACTTAACTTTCAGCCCTGGTGAAAATAACATTGTGAATAAGTGTTGTCTAACACAAAGCCTGAAATACATTCGTCCTTCCCTCAGAATCTTCCCATTTTGTGGCTTGCACAAGCACGCTAGACAGGTAGACTATAGCTTGGAATTAGTTGCTTGGCTTGTTGGGTTTTTACTTGAAGGAGGAGGTGGCGAAGCCGACGACGTGTATGGGATGTTGGTGGATCGGAGTATTTTTTCCCTAGAAAGGTGAAATACGTTCGCGTCTGCCGTGTTTTTTCCGCGGAGCTGCGCTGCTCCGGGAGCCCAGGCCGGGCTGGCCCCGCCGCCGCCGCTGGGTGCCAGTGCAGCCCCGGCGTAGGCAGCGCCTCTGCCTCTCCCTGCCCGCTGCAGCTTCGCCCTGCTCGCTCTTCCCCCGGCTCCCGCCGCTCCCCCTTTCCCTTTCCGTCCCCATTTAAGCGGCAGCAAAGGCCCCGTGCGGAGGGAGGCCTGGGAGGCAGCGGAGCCGAGGGCGCTGAGCCCGCCCTCCCCTGCTGAAAGGCTCGGCAGCCTCCGAACGAGCCTGGCCCTTGGCTTTGGCAGTGTCCAGGCCTGGCTCTTGGCAGTGTCTTCGAGCGGAATGCCGTGGGGAGGGGAGCGGGGCCGGCTGCTCGGAGAGAAGGCTGTGCTCCCGCGGGACTCGGCGGAGCGGCTCCTCTTGTTCACATCGGGGTGTATTTTTCCACCCTTGCAAAGCGGGGGGTCAGTGCTGACAGGCTGTGATGAGAGCTGGATGAGCAAGGGAAGGACATTCTTCCTGCCCAGCTGCTCCTTGCCTCCCTGTGCAGTTCACCTCAGTCGTCCCTCTCTGTGAGACTCCCGGGGCTGGAAACATCAGAGGCTGGGGATGTGGTTGATCTAGTCATCACTCGGTTGACTAGAAAAAGACTTAAGCTTTCCAAGTAACCTGGAGCTGTGGGAGCCTGCTACCCTTTGGTAGTGCTAAGAACTTGTGACTGATTTAGTGCAATACTTTTGGTTTCAGCAGAGGGAGGAATGAGCATCACTCCTTTGTTTCACAGCTCTCTTTGTTTCAAGTTGGAAACTTAAGAAATCAATTATACAATTGATTTCCAAAAGGCAAAATTAGGCTGGGAAGCTGTAGACAAGGATTCTTAGAGAGTGTGCAAATCCAGCAGTGGTAGTTTATTATCTTTAAGCACCTTTTAACCAGCAACTTCACAGCTACTGCACTGGTGTTCTAGGGGCAGAAATTTATTGTCTTCACCTCCAAAATAAAAGTAAATTAGCTACATACAAATAAACTGACCTTCTTAAGTAGCACAGGGAATCCATAGCAGAATAGGAAAAAGAAGGTAGAGCCCCCAAATC